ATTATGGAGTGGCCAGCCCTGTCCTGTCCTTTTGAAACAAAATGTTGTATTTGAAGAGAAAAACCTTGTGAGTAGTGTTGTTGGCAGGCTGGCTGCCTCCCGAGCTGTCCGGAGGCAAGTGGAGGGCTCCTGGGTGATGCACCAGGACCTTGGATGCGTGGATGTGCTCACTGTTCACTTCTGAGACTGCAAACACACTTCAACACTTCAAACTCTGCTCTTGAAGGAGAAATGGAATGAGAAAATATAACAGGTAAAGCTTTTTCAATGACAGAGCTGTCATTGACTTCATCAGGCAGAATTTTACTCTGACTTTCATCTTCTTTCATTTATTTTTATGAGTGAGCGTGCTTGACAACATGGTAAACAGGATCAGAAAGGAGCTCTCCGGGTCTCGCAGGACACCAACCTGCTCCAGCTGCCACCATGTGCCAGGCACAAAATGACTCTTCTGTACCTAGTATTTTCTAGATATTCCCTACATGCTGCCCCAAACCAGAGCAAAGAAACGTGGGCTTATTTGTATTATTTTTGCTAAGATTTTTCTATCATGACTTTGCTCTTATGTCATCCTTTGAACAAGGAGTCGACTTTAGAAAAGGGAGACATCCCCATCGCTCTATGCATGTGGAAATACAGATTTTGAAAGATGCTCTTTGAAAAACTTGAAATACCCAAGTCAAGGCTGACTGCATTTTTAGTCTTTTTTCTTTTATTTTTTAATTCTAAAATTACTGTTTTAACACCTCTGCTCCAGAATGCCACGGGCCAGATTTGTTTGGTGGTTTATCTAAGTTTCTAAATTACATGTAGGACATGATGCCACACGCTTTCTCTTTTAAACGACTAGTTTCTTTTTGCCTTGTCCTTCCCTTCTATTTTCTGGTGTGGCTGTAACACCTGCTTTGTGTATCTGCTGAATACTTTGTCACTTGGTTTTTGGCTAATCAGATCTGATGAAGGGCTTTGCCTCTTTTATGCCAGAAGATTTGGGTCAGACTTCCAAAGCAATTGCACAGGTTATTCAAAGGATTTATTTTCTTTCCAACAGATATATTCTTTATCACAATAGATTTTTCCAAATTTGCCTTTACAACAAGCAGCGTGAAAATAAAATCAATACAACCTTTTTTAACTGATTTAGATGATGTGTCTGTGTTTATTCAGGACCTGTTTGTTTATAAATAATTTCAAGATAAATATTCATTGAATTTCTTATTTTTTGAGCTGACTGTATAATTTAAAGTATACCGTGTTAAACTTGGGAGTCATTATGTTGTACAAATATTGTAAAGCTGAAAGTATAAACTTGCAAACCAGGGAACAGACAGCTGGAATAAATGTGCTGCGTGAATTGTACAGATGCTTATTATTCTCTTTTTAGCAAAGATTATGGTAAAGCTGTTCCAAATAGTAACCAAGCCATCTATAAGTCCTAATGGCTGGAAGTTAAAGCAATGCAAATTCCGTTCAGGAGTATGACGTCCTGAAGGGCATATCGGAGGAAGGCTCACTTGATAGCCATGCTGCGTCTTTCACTGTTTGCCTCAACACTTGCTGCTGGGCACATAGGAGATGTGATACAAGCCTAAAGGGAGCTTCTGGTCTAACCTAAGGTAGCTGCTCTTATGAATTAAATAAAGCATGATTTTTAAACAGCTGACGGCCACTAATGAAGAACAAAATACACAGGAATATGGTGGTTTTATTCCCACAGCTTTGCTGTCACATTTATAATGAAATCTGAAACCAGGTCAGTTTTATGCTTCCTTTTTTTGCTTACGTGGAGGCGGATATGTTTCACATACCAGCTTTTTTCGGTGCTAAGTTCTATATGCATCAAACCTTAAGTAACTTAGCAGCAGATTAATATTTTACTGGCTGTGTCTACACAGTCTGTTGTGGGCTGCTCAGTCTCTGTGCTCCTGGCAGCCTGAAGCCCACGACCGATACTGTGGGCTGCCGTGGCTGAGCTAGTACAGCTTTGCAGGGCTCGGGCTCTGGGGGTGCCACTGGGGTCGCTGGAACCAGGGCGCCACTTGCCAGGGCAAGGACAAAAGTGGCTTGCATGTGCCTGCCGTGTATTGTGCGGATTCACCCACAGACAGCCAGGAAAAGCCTCTGTATCTGATAAAAGAACCTTGATTAAATAAATCTGGACTTGTTTGCTAAACTCCTCCTGTACACCAGCAAATTCTTACTCAGTTTATTAATTACCTTTTTCACCATAATATTTACCACCATTGGTTAATATAATATGAACTGTTAAATCATTTGTAAAAAGAGGGGAATTTTTTTTTTCCCAGGAAAAGTATTTTCCCCATTTTTGGCCACATGATATTTAGTGTTCTTCCCTGCCTCGCTGCTGCAATTTCTTAAAAAAAGTCAGGCTGTAAATAGTTCTGTTTCCATGCAGTGTTGAGCACAGTGGAATGTCAGAGTTTGAAACTGCATCTAGAGGGATCTAGGCTTGCTTTCTCTCCTTTTCTCCTTCCTTCCTTTCAACAGACTGATGTTCTGATCCCTGTTACACCTTTGCATGGGATTATACAGACTGCGAGAAACAGAATTTAACCGATGGTTTTTAAGGTGTGCATTACAGCTGCCAAAGACTGGAAACAAGGATAATATCCTAGACCAAGGAAAGATAACAGCGTTTGACATATTTTGTTTGTTTTCAAGTTCTAGACTCATCAGCGACAATACAATAAAAGTTACAGACTTTTATTTGGTATGAATATTGGATGTGTGTGAAAGGATCATCAGTAAAGCATTTATTTTAATGCAGAACAGATTCATGAGCCTGTGACACATTTTATATGAAGAATTTGTTCAGTGGGAATGGGTTATGGATATGGTGCTAGGGGTACTGTAGTGTTCGCAGAATTCAGTAGAAGCTACTTCTTTTCTTCCTTGCCTTCAAAAAGAAAATGCAGTCTCTATAGCAGTGTGTACCTTCCCATTACAAAGCAAGAAGCCAGAAAGGCAGAACAGAATTTTCCCCTGAAAAAGTCTTTTTACTACTTTAACTGCTTTTCTGTGCTTGGTTAAAGAGGTTTTGCTGTCATTGGACTTGCGCACACACTCATCCCACTTCGATTTCTTCCGTCCTCCACCTTGTCAACAGTCACATTTCTGTAGGGTGAAGATGAAGTGTGAAGAAAAATGATTTGTGCCTTCTCATTTTTTCTTGCTTTCATGTTTGTACAAAGGCTGAATGAATTTTCAGTGTTCTTGCATGCCAGTTTCCTGTTTATTAGTTGTTTTCCAATAGCACTTGCAGGCCCGCACTGCGTGCATGGACATCAGATCGGCAAAGGGTGCAAGAAAAGACGATGCTATCTGGGGAACTGAGGCAAAGAAAAGCAAAACGGCTTTCACAACATCAGGCAGAATTATGTCACAAAGCCGAAATTTGAGATTAAAAAATTGAGTTTTTCTTAAGTGTCAGTGCAGACTGTCCTTTCTCGGTTTGCATTTGATTTTTGAAACTTAGATCCTTTTTACTAAACCCTGTCCTCTGCATCTTCCTCCCAGTCGCAGGCAGTTAGAGATTGAAGCATACTCTGAAGTCACAGACAGTCATAAATAAGTGAAACGTAAGGAAGTGAGAGGGAACTGGGGTTGTTTAGCCTGGAGAAAAGGAGGCCCAGGGGAGACCTCATCGCTCTCTACAACTACCTGAAAGGAGGTTGTAGCGAGGTGGGTGTCGGTCTCTTCTCCCAAGTAAAGCGATAGGGGACGAGAGGAAATGGCCTCAAGTTGCGCCAGGGGAGGTTTAGATTGGACGTGAGGAGAAATTTCTTTACTGAAAGAGTGGTTAAACATTGGACCAGGCTGCCCAGGGAAGTGGTTGAGTCCCCATCCCTGGAGGTATTTAAAAGACGAGTAGATGAGGCACTTAGGGACATGGTTTAGTGGGCATGGTGGTGTTGGGTCGATGGTTGGACTCGATGATCTTAGAGGTCTTTTCCAACCTTAATGATTCTATGATTCTATGATTCTATGACAGAGGGTGTTTAGTTAAATCATTCAATTGCTCACTGAGGAACTACTAGCGTCTAGTTCCTATTCATGGAGCCATGTTGGTATAGGTACACCTATACTGATGGGAAAGGCATCTAGTACAGTAGACTGCTTTGATCTGATGAAGTGAAATAAGCTATATTGGGGGAAAATCATTTTACCAGTGTTTCTACTTTTATGTTGCTGAACCATTTCTTCCCTCTGTACTAGGCAGAGTCTATTTGTTGTACAGAAATGGTCTGACAGTAGATGTTCTGTCACTGTAATAAATTTGCTGTGGTTGTCCTGATGTCAAAATTAAGCAAAAGTGAAGTTGAGTTAAAACAAAACTTGTTTCACATATTACTTCCTTGAAAAGGGACAAGAGAGCTTAGAAGTGTGGGGCTCCCGTTGGTGTAGGTTTGCTCTCTTTCACCTAGGTCAGGTTTAGGTCTGCAGCCATTTTCTCTAACCAGTTGTTGGCTTTGTTTTGGCTGGGTCAGTCTCCACTCCGGTATGGTTGCCAGTGCGGCAGGGGCACCAGCACCAGAACGTGCTGCCTGCAGAAAGCTGGTGGCTTGGCTGCAGGTGTCCACGTTCTCCCTCACGTAGCGTGAGCTTCAGCTGTCTGAACCCCACCTGCTCTGCTGGGGAAGAGTGCTGGAAACTCTCTAGGAAAAAACACAGCCATCTGATGTCCCACCTAGAGCCGAAGTACGAGAATCAAATTCGGCACTTGGTTGGTTTATCGGTGGGACAGGCTTGCTTATAGCTGTCTGTGCTGTTTGCTGGTGATGAGCAACAAGAAAAAAAATTGGAGTGTTATTTGACTATGGGAAAAGTTGCTGAGAAAATACAGTAGGACTGGAAGGGGTGACTGTTTATTCTTAGAAGTCTGCTCGCAGTGTCTTGTAATGTTTTTATGCTTGAATGTACATCTGAGTGTATCGTTGTATGATCATCTGCATGACTTTTCTTTTTTTCCTTTCTCACAGTGCATGCCCATTAAAGGCCTTGGATTTGTGCTCGGAGCCTACAAATGCATTTGCAAGGCTGGATTCTATCATCCCAACATCTTCTCAGTGAACAGCTTTCAGAGTAAGTGCCTTTGCTTGAGTTTAAAAAAAAAGAAAAAAGAAAACAGAGCTAGCATTAATAATGCAGGGCTCCTTTTTATCCTCGTCAGGGTTATACAGTAAAATCCCAGTGGTTTGCAACTCTCGGATTATATAATCACTTAAGGAGTTCTAGCCCTTTGGTTTGTCATTCACAATACTCTTGAGGATCCTGTAAAATATAGCTGCTTGAAGAATATTTGATTTGTAAATAAATTTAAAAACATGAAGTCTTGCTATGGGGAAATAGAGATTTCTGGCATCTGTGCTCAAGCACAAGTATTGAGAAAATTAATCTAGTAATTTTCTCTTTGGTCAGGGCAAACTAGAATGCCCTAGCCTCTGGCTTTCTGCGGGCTTTAATTGTTTTCATTTTACTTCATTTGCAAAGTAGATTCCAAAGGAGCATCCAAACTCTAATACGTACTGATGAGGTATTAGAGATGGGTCAGGCCTAAGAGTCTGGTTGGCTGTATGGTACAGATGACATATAGCCTACACTTGCCCAGGACACACGTTGTATGGTACTTAGACTGAGTTGCCCACAGTAACAGAAACAGAACTCGGTTGATACTCAGCAGGGAAAATATATAAACTGCGTGCCCAAAGTTGATGTCTATTACTTTCATCATATGACCAAAGAGTAATCTCTGCGCAGATTTTGTACCGAAATTGTTGCAGTTACACTAGTAGAGCTCATGCTGCAGTCACAGGTGTAGAGGTGTTCCTTGAGGGTGTAACAGGGCATCCTTCTCTGCCTCCTGCTTTCGAGTCAATATCATCACCAGCTTCTTTGCACCATCCTTTAGCCAAAGGTTCATGTTGTCAGCTCTCCGCTGTGGGAGCAGTTTGTATGAGATGCCCAGGGAATGGCAATGAGTAGCATTCACCAAGCTTGGTCCAGGACTGCGTGTATTATCTCCTGCCTTCTGTGAACGCAGCTGTTCCTTTTCCACTAGAGAAATACCTCTAGTAGTATTCAACACTTAATGTGCACCTCTGTGATGCTGACAGATACAGATTCAGGTGTTTTGTACTGGTAAATCATGTGCAGGATTACATGACATGGTACTTGTAAAAGCTACAGAGTACCTGATAATTGGGTTAAATAAATTATTTGGTGTGGACTCAAAAGCTGCAAATAAAGCTTCCAAGTTCCTTACTATATTAGTTACTCATGAGCTCTGCTTTCTTACATAAAAAGTGACAGGGATTATAGATGAAAGGTAAATAACTTTTAATATTAGGAAAGCTTTAGAATTCCTTATTTGTTCACAGCCCTGAGTTCCAGATATTAAATACTTTGATCTGTGTCATGGGTTGGCCTGTTTTTTATTGATTTGATCTGGTTTGGATATAGATTGGCCAAGATATCTTACCCCTAACTCAGTGTATCTCATATATATATATATGAGAGAGAGAGAGATGTCATGTCTCCTGTGTATATATGTTGCATAAATAGCACAGTGTGTTTGTTCAACAGTTTACCTAGTAAGTGTTTGTTTCCCTTCTCTTTTCATATTGTGGAGTGTCGCAGAAGGCAGCCTTGTGATAGTGCTTTTTCTCTGGACTCTGTGTGAATTTTTTGACAAAGGATGATGTTTGGTTGCTCCTGCAGTGCAGTGAGTTACGGTGGAGTTGGGATTTGACTCCTTGAATGAGCATATAAAAAAAATCATTCTTAGATTTTTGTCATACCAAATGCCACAGAACACACAAAAATAATGTGGCTAGAGATCGTAACAGCATTGATCATTAGGGATGAGATTGATTTTATCTCATATCATCTGTCTAAAATGTATATGCTTGGTATGTATTAGTCACCTCGGTTTCAACTGCAGTCAACAGTGAGAGCGTGGCTCCCCGGAGGGTAATTCTGCTGCTTTAGAAAGGCAGAATTTGACTTTAGATGGGAAAAGGAACTCTTCCGGCAAATAACCTTTTTTCTCCATTTGCTATAGAAGGAGGAGCCTATATAGCTACCTTAGATTGGATATTTAGCTTCTAAATAGCTAACATAGAGTGAAATTTGTCTCATCAAAGTCTTTGCATATGCTGATATTTTAGGGGGTGTAATTACATCATCTGGGGCCACTTTGATTTGAGCATGTGTTACTGTGAGCTAACATAAACATGAGTTTTGAAACAGTCAGTAATAAAGAACTGCTTTAATTCATCCAGATGCAGCTCAATCTGTGAAGCTCTATAGGTGATTTCAAAAAGTGAACAGTGAGACAGCTAGTGCGAGACTGGAAATGACTGTGAAGTAGTGGGAGAAAAACCAGTGGTTCAAGGGAACTTGGCCCTGTCACCCAGCTGCATTCTGTAAAAAGAAAAAAGGAAAAGATGACATGGTTAAAACAGCTGTAGTATGTATTTGGAGGTTGAAAGTGGTGCTAATACAGGAATTCTAGACACAAATCCTGCAAGCAGTTTTGACAGAAACTGTCTGACCCGAAGATCTCTTTGTGGAGATAGGTTGGTGAAGTTTGATAATAAAAGAGATGAAACTGAGCAGAAATGTTAATCGTTTAGAAAGTATTCCTAGTGGAAGAAAATAAAGAGGCAGGAAAGATTTGCAGGTCTTGAGATGTAAGTAAGCAGATAGATAGAAAAAATGACCCGTTTTATACTTCTGTGGGTTGAAAAATTGGATTGAGTGTGTTGTCTTGAAATGGGAGCATTTCTCAATGATGCTGGGATTCTGCACCGCAGCAAAATATGGTTAACTACAGTTACACATTGTACCTGAGGTGTCAGAGTTTTAAGCGGGGGCAAGGTTCTGCTTTAGGTGCAGATGAATGTTTTGGTTTAAGTCTGAAAGATAGCTGTATAAAATGGCTTTGCAGGGATGTTGGACACTCTACATGGTTTGCTGGTGGGACGGCTTAAAAGATTGCTTATCTGCCTCCTCTGCAAACTCAGCTGGGGCCCTGAATGCCAAAATGCAATGTTGCATAAACAGTGTTCTCCGTAGGAAAGATTCTGCGAACTGGTTGTTTTTCTGACTTAAAGCAAGCACGGTGTTGCTGCTCGCAGGGAGGTTGCACAGGTTCCCAAAGCGGGTGTGGGACAGGGGCATGGCTGAAATTTAGGCTGTTCTCTTACTGAATAGAAAGCCAGGTAGGAGAGCGTTTCCCTCCTAAGGCTGAGTTTGCTCTTCAGAACTTACAGTGCCAAAATACATAAAACCTTTCTATTTTTTTTGCATTAGTTAATGAGGACCCTGGGTACTAGTGGGGCACAGAGTTATTGCCATATTTCCAGGGTCTCTTTTGAGGACAGAAATTGATTTTAGAAAAAGATGTATTTCGTGTATGCAAGTTGCATTAACCTGTAAGTGCTTGAGTACATGATTATGCACTTTGTCCTAATGGCTCATTTTTAGGTAGCACTATTAGTGTAGGTAGAATAGACTAACTGCTGACTACATACATTTTAACATTTTTGTAACACCTTTCTCCAAAGCGTTTATGTTTTCTGCCTCACGGGGTAATCAGGTTTGCATTGGAAGATCCTTAGTAGAACAGCGGTGCTTTGTTCAACCTAAAAGTTCATTCTTTAGCAATGCATCGTTCATATATTGCCGAGATTCTGCTCAGCTCTTGCTGTTTGGATGTGGAACAGGGAACCTGCCCTGTGCAAAAAGGTGCTTGCATCAGAGGTGGCTCTTTTGTCTGGATATGGGACTTTACTGTCTCTAACGGTGCTATGATCACATAAAAAGTCCCAGGAGGGGTTTCCAGTTCAACGGGAATTCCCATTTTTTACACCTGTCCTTTGGCTTTGGTTCTTCAACAGAACTCGCGTGCGCAGATCTTTGCACGTACGAAGGCTGTCACTGACTTCAGTGATCCCTTTCTGGGATGAGGATTATGACCATGGCTGATTACCAGGTTTTGATGCTAGAAGGACCAGTTACATTCACACACACTGAGTTACTGCAGCCAATGCTACTGGTGGTGTTCCTAATTTATGCTATAATAGAACAGGAGCAGAATCAGTCTTTTGTTCTGCTCAGTGCTCAGCATGCACTGTGCTCTCTGTGTTCATCTGATGGTTTTGCCTGGGGTCTGGGATGATTTTGTTTGGGATGGTAGCAATCCCTGCCCTGGCACTTAGCAGTCTGTGGTGCCATTCTTACTTTGCAGGAAGATCTTGGCTGGCAATGTTGCAGCTGCTGAGGCACCCCTTGCGTAGCAGAGTGTGCTTAGGAGAACCAAAGCTGATGAAGAGTTACCCTCAGGAGACCATTTCAAAATCAGATGGGCCGATCAGACAGAAAAATAAGACTGGGATAGAAGAAGGAAGAACTAGGAAAAAAATATAGTAGAGGGGACATAGCTGAAGCATTTAAGCGTTTTGTTTTATTTTTCCAGTACTCAAGCATTTTCCTTATTATACTTCACATTAGTTTGTGTCCCTGTTCCTACTTTCCAGCAATTATTTGTTCTTTTCTCCTTCCATTTTATCCTTTTTTTTTTTTGTTACCGCATTTTTTTTTCTTTTCTTTTTTTCCTTGAAGACAGTACTTTTTCACACCTTCCTCATCCTCAGTTTGAACTCCTGCAGCACAGTCAGTCTTTCAGTGTTTGCTTCCATCTCATCTGTGTCAGTGCTAAAACCATTGCTGCCTTACATGAAGCAGAATTGGCTTCTTGTCCATCTACCTTACCAGTGTCTAAAATCTTTGCCATCTTTTGGGGATGAAAACCTGATTTTCTTCACTGGAGGAGGCACGTGTAATCCCAATGAGCTGCCGAGAAAGGAGAAGGCATGGCACAGTGAAATCTCTAGCAGTGCTATAAGGGGCAGTAACTTCATGCTTGGCTTGGACTGTCTATGGTTTGAATTGACGTTACATTGACTTTGGTGAGGGGACGGGGCCAGGCATAAAGGGCAGAAATGTTCAACTGGGCAGTGGGCAGCAGTGCCCTGAGACATATAGTGAGAGCAAGGGTGTGGGTGGACAAACAGTGCCCCAGTCAGTGGTAAATACAGTGATGAGTTCTTTCCCAAGAACTTCTTTTAGAGGGTCTGAAAAATGTTCTTTCTTTTTGGCAAGGAGGAAGAAAAAAAAAATATAGGGATTGTTAATAATGCCTTATCACATTGTGTAAAATCTCAAGTAGATCCAATTTTTTGGATCTTTCTTATTTTAGCTATAATGAAGAATCATTTCAAAGTCAAAAGATATTCACCAGATGATCAGTCATAGCTGGCAGTGCAGGAGATGCATATTGATGATCTTCCTTTGTATACAGCAGACAGCATGACACCAGACACATGTAAGCAAAGGCTTGCTGTTGTGTTATGAAGTCATATCCTTGGGATATTTACTGCAACATGCAACTGTTTATTGGCTATTATCCCTGTAGTATGTGATGAGCATACACATGAAGAAACTTCCATGCATGACTCAGATAAGAAAATGCTTGATAAAATGGATTATAATGTATTTGCGACAACTTTCAAGGTTGAACATTTCAGAAATAAAGTAAGAATATCAAGTTGAGGACCATGCAAAATTATTAAGCCATATTCATATAATATTTGTGACTTAAGTAATCTCATGACTTTAGGTTTTAAATGGTATTTTTTCAGTGGTTAAGTTTTTACACTGAAAATAGTTTATTTAGTTACCACAATAAAAACATACTAACAAATGGCTCATGTGTGGCTCAGAAATGTGAGATTTTAAAGAGATTAAATAATCTTTTTGGACATGGGCTAATTGAAGGGCGACTCTTTATGGAAATTATAAAGGAGCAGGTGGGTGGTGGAAAAGCAGGTTGACATGAGTGCAAATGTTGAGGAAACGAAGTGGAAAACTCGGACAGTAGGTAGTGCACTCGATTTGGATATGGAGATGGGAGGTGGGAGGCTGTGACTTCTGTATCTGACAGAGGACAGTGTGGGTCCATTGCTTTAGCTGTAATTTAGAAAACAGAGATATAACGTTAGATATGGAGAAGGTGGTTTCTGGCAAAGCTCTTGGAATGCTAATGGGCTGAGGTCCATGGGTGTTTGCTCTGAGAAGTTCTAGTCCTGGGATATCTTCAGGATTAGTGTTCCTTAGAGGTTCTCCACCTTCTTGGGATGCCCAAGCACGGTTATTTTCCAGCATTTCCATTCCTGCCTCCCACAGTCTGGGTCAAAAAGACACAAGATCTCTTCTTGCTGTCTGCTTGTATCTAAGAAAATCTGGCTACCAGCATGAGTCAGCACCACTCTGCTATATTCAGGTTTCCAACATTTTTGTTTAGAATAAAGCTCCAAAGAGAAATCCACAATCTTCATGAGAAATACCAGCCTGTTCTCTACTTACTGCGGGATGCGGGAGTGAAGCATCCTACACTGAGGACGAGGAGCACAGGGCCACTGGAATGGCATGCCAAATAAACAGACTTGGGTATACAGCCTCTTTGTCCCTTTCCTGGGCTTTGCCTGTCAGCAGATACATGCTCATGTGCATTCGTACATAGATTTGAGAAAGCCAGAAATAATTACCCTTGTAGATAACCTTCTGCTTCAAATGTTTCAAGCTAAAAGTCTGAAGACTTTCATAAGCCAGTATCACGTGCAACATCAGTGGAATAGGCTGTCTCTTGAATTAAGACTAAACAATGCATGATTTACTAATTTCACTGACAGAGGAGGAGAATTTTGATCAAAGATACTCAAGCAATTCTCTAGTCTTATGAAAAGTGAGAGAAGTTATCACACATTTTAACATACCATTGATTTGGCTTCAGCCACATACTCTTGTTTCTGGAAGCTCCTAAGTCTGTCTTGTTTATATTAAACATTTTCAGCAAAGTCAGTTTTCTTTCTTATTTAACAATATGCTTTTTTGCCCCCTTTTTCTTTCACCTTTTTATTCCGATAATTGCCTGTAGGTTAAGCAGTCTTACAGGGGGTTACAGGCAAGTGTTCATGGATCAGAAAAAATAGGAATCCTCCTATGTGCTCTGTTGGTGAGTTCACTTTGATGGGCAAGATGTCAGCTCAAGAATCATTGATTTTCATAGACAAAATATTAACTTGCCAATAAGTTTTCCAGATTTGCTGGTGTGCTTGTGTGAACAATGGAAAATTATACTTAGTGTAAGTGCACTGGTTCTGCTTTGGGGACAGAGTAGTGCAATCATGCAACAGCATGCTGAACAAATGTTAATTAAGAAGGGTTTTATCTAATTTGAAGCTAATTAATTCACTAGATAGCATCTTTATGAAATTGAGGAACAATCTGAAATAGGATCAGAGCTTGTTCTGTGAACATTAAGTAGTTAATGGGTCTGCTCTTCATGTGTCTGTGTAAAATCCTTTCCTTATTCCCAAATCCTTGATGTAATTTCTTCCCCATTTAGAAGTCTCCTTCAAAGAATTTCCTGTGCAGATTTAGACCACTTTAAATACAACAGGAAAGCATTTGTCATTTAATAAGCTCACTTTCCCTCATGTCTAAATTGGTCTGCGTTTTCTGAATGTGACAAAGGAGGGTGAAATGAGAAAAGCAGCCCTGGCAAGCCATTTCGTAACTTAATGAAAGAGGCCAACAGAGAGTCAGCAGAGGACTGGTTTGCTCCTGTATGGATGAACTGCCCATCCTGTACAACTAAAGGTGTCTCCCCTTACCCTTCTGATACTTTCAGGAAAGGATGCAGAAAATCGCTTTTCTGGAGGTGAATTGTCGGAAGAAGTCTACACCTGCCTACCCTGCAGGGAAGGATGTTCTTACTGTACAGATGATACTCCCTGCTATGCACAGGAGGACAAGTATTTACGGCTGGCTATCATCTCATTCCAAACGCTCTGTATGCTGCTGGACTTCATAAGCATGCTGGTAGTCTACCATTTTCGCAAGGCAAAGGTAAGCAGACATGTTTTACTTTGATATTCCTGCTCATTGTGTGGTACAGACTCATTTATGTTAGGTGTATAGCTTCTCATTTTGACAGTCAATTTCTCATGTAAGGAGCTCAAGTCAAGGAGAGGATGGGATTTCCAAACAGGAATGCTTTGCTTTAGGTGTGGAGGTACCTAAATTGTTTATGTAGTTTTTGAAAAAAATGCTGAGCAATTTGTGTCTCCCAGTGAAATCTGCTTACATTTATAGATGGTGTGCAAAAATCAAGGAAACCTATTATGTTCGAAGTAATTTTGGAAAATCAGGCCAATTACGCAGGTATCTAAGGTGGCACGTGGGTATTTATAGTCTCGGGATCTTGAAAGTCTCTGTTTTACCGCTGCTGGGAATGATGTTTGGTTTAAATATATTTGAGAGACTAGCTGGAAAATAATTATATCAAAGAGAAATCTTTCCAAATCATTCCAGTTCCTAGAGAGTTTAAACTTGATTCTATGGTTAAAGATTCTTCTTTTTTCACTGAAGTATGAATATATTAAAGTGTCTGTAAATCGCTGATGCAGGCTATGGTTATGTTTTATGTACTAACCTAATGAATTTCCTGCTTTTACCTCACTCAAAATATTTTAACATGTAAGATCTTGTGGAATCTCACTGTTGACTCAGTGAATGCAGAATATTCTCTGAAACTTCCAATTTACAAAAAAAAAAAAGAATTGAAGGTGGCACATATTCGCTACCTACATTAGGGAGACGTAGGTGTGCACACAGTATGCTACACTGTTGAAATTAATAGCTTCATTCACTTTCCATAACTAGATAAGCAGTTCCATTTTGGTTTTTGGAACACTTGATCCCACAGTCTTCCTAATCCTACAGTGTCTGTGTTACAAATGTGTGGCTCATTTTGAAAGACTTTAATATCCTGGCAGGAAATCACAGAACGAGCAGTAACATTCTTTTTTTTTCTCTTCTGTTTCTGAGACTCTTTGTATTTAATGATATTGCATAAAATGATTCAAATTACAGACTTAATTGTATTTATAAAGTTTTTCATTATTAAAAGTCTGTTGTAGGCATCTGTTTAGTTGCCTAACGTTAACTTAGCAGAAGAATTTCATTCCAATTTTGTGAGGTTTTAGTCCGCCCGGTAATGTTACTCGCTTTTAATGTCATAGACAACATCATGAAAGAAGCATTCCTTGGGAGTAAAAAATTTAGTCTCTAGACCTACAGAGTGAACAGAGTAGATTACTTCATACACAGCTATTGCAAATTTGGCTTGATTTTTTTTTCCCACACTGAAATATTGATTGTTTTATAAGAAATTTCTGTATTTTATCATAAATAGCTTGAGATCAGAGATGAGCAAAATTACATACACTCTTGTACACTTACATATGTTCTGATATATGTATCTACTACAGTAAAAAATATGTCTTTATTAAACATACTACAGAAATCTTGTATTTCACAAAACCTGCTAGTAACAAAAGGTGCATTTTTACTTTTATGATGATTAGCCATTTCTCCAAAGTAGGTTATGAATAAAGACCCAGACGGGATCTGAGTATTTAATACCAAAGCAATACCAAAGAGGCACATGCACACCTTTCCTTGTTTCCAAAGAACTTTTCAGTCTTTATAAAAAAAATTGAGCTTTTTTTTTTCCAGATTACCTCTTAACCATTATCAATTAATCATGACATCTGAAGGAGTGAGAACCAGACATAAAAGAAAACATTCTTTTCTCCAGAAAGAAAAGTGACACCTTTGAGACATTGCATTTCACTCAGTTGGACAGAGATGGATTAAATTATAATTTTGCTACCTTAGAAGAGCGTTGACTTTGCTCTAAGTGTATATCTCACAAGGAAAAGAGGAGGAAAAAAAGAGACAAAAAAAGTAATATGGTGATTAACAATCCTTTCCTTTATGATCAATGTTTTCAAGGAATAGAAACTGATAACTAGGTGTCCCATTGCTTTTCATGTCATTCAGCTGAGTTTTTTCTTGGATTCCTTTTATGTTCTTTATCTTGTTGGTACAGCTTGATTTTAAAAAGAAAAAGATCTTGTGTGATTACCATGAAATGAGAAGCTGTATGAAGGGCAAACATACTGAAAACAATGAGTATTTGCATGAGAAAACTGCTGGTTACATTGGATAATGACAGAAATTTGGAGTCAATGAAGAAAACTAGTAACTGACTGTGTACTCTCTGCCAAGGGGGGAAAGTCATGAAAGTGAAAGAACAGCTATTGAAATACATTCAACATATCTGCATTTTAAGAATTTCCAACTGTTAGTGAAACAAACCTCAATTAGGTTAGTATATCTGTCTGTGATTAAAGTTACTGTGTTAAACTGCTCATTTCCATTGTGCTGGGTGGGTGTCAGAGAAGAGCATTTTTTGGATCCTCTCCCCATGTATGGGGAGACAACAGTGACAACAGTGAGGAATATATGCTAGATCCAAGCCAGTTACTAAAAGAACAGCCATTGGTAAAAGATCTACTGCTCCACTCCCAAAGAACATAGCAATGAGAGCAGAGATGTTTTCAACAATTACTGCCAAAGTGTTATTGGCACAATGTGACTTTTGTTTTGACATGATCTTTATTACTGACCTAGGATGTAATAATAATGATCTACAGGGAAACCTGGTAAATATCAACCAAAGTGGTTCCACGAGTGAAAGATCTTGACAAAATGAATGGTAATAAATAGGCAAAGCCTATAGCAAAGCCAGATGACTGCCTTCTAAAAGCCAGGCTTCTCTTTAGAGGAACCTTTAGAAGCCTCTGAAGTTTTAAGTCTCTTCTTTTAGAACTTCTAAAGGTTCCTCTAAAGAGTCCTCTTCAGATTTCTGAAAGAACTCCTCTACAAAACTGCTGAATTATTTACTGTGGAGTAAGCTACTGCTTACATTAATAGCAGTAGAGGGGGAATGGAAGATAGGAAAAGTGACATCTGTGTTTATAAAGACTTCTAGTAATGGTGACAAGAACTAAAGATCAGTAGGTCCAACTTACGCGCTTGCATATTCATAGAAATGGTAATAAAAAATAGAACTACTGGCTCCATGGATGAGTGTGGGAAGTGGGCTTTTGTGAGAATGTGATGCCCTACAGATGTATTTATAGCTCTGTGAAGGTGGATTATGAGCATGTGGATATGAGAGTACTTTTTCCAAGGTCCGCTACTAAAAACTCTTAAAAATTATGATCTCAAGGGCCTAGATGAGCTACACTTCTTGTAGGTAACCAAGAGATGACAGAGGAAAAGACAGTGCAGGAAATATGGTATAAAATCATGTAAGGCAGGGAGGTGTTGACATGTGAACAGATATTCATGTTTCCTCTTAAGGTATCACTAGAGGGTGTTCAAGGGATCTCTCAAGTGGTTAAAAAAAATCAAATAGGTGTTTTGCACAACTTTTAGTTGCTTTATGTCACTCATTGGAAAAGAATATCATGGATCCCAAAGTATAAATCAATTCAAATAGAGTTTAGAAGGAATCATGAAGGGTATTTCCATTATTGGCTGTTTAAATACAGTGGTTTTGGTGAAACATCTGGTGCAGGAAGTCCATAATTTTTATTGTTGGAAACTGGGAGGATAGACCAGGAAGGATCACACTCTGCTGTTCTCCTTCTTTAATAACGCAGCATAGGCCATGACCTGAGGTGGGACACTACACTCTGAATTAGAAAGCCATTCTTTTGTTCTCTTGGCAAAGAGTCATTGAGTTAGATTTCATGCCTCTTGAAAGCGCTGTAATTACTCATATAGACTTGCACATTTGATAGGTGGCAAAACAAAATTCAACTCATTTGTCAAAGACACAGTTACTCCAAACTATCTCTGGTACCACTGACCAAAATCTTGGCATTGCCAACCTGTAAATGAAACTGCAGATTAGTGACTTCAAGCAGTAGTCAGCATTGGCAAACAGTACAAAATGGAACCGCAGAAAGACACTGTGAGAAAGCTCAGATCGATGCTGAGGAATTCATTTGAGGCTTTGTCAAACACAGGTGAAAGTGACTCAGCAGCCCCAAGATTAGCTCAGCAGCAATGTTATTAAACTGCAAGAGCCATAACTGGAGAAAATCACAAGCAGAAAATGTGCCCCGTTGCTGAGAGAGGGAGAACTCCAAAATGCTACGAATAAAAAAAATTTGGAGGAGGGCACAGAAGAAGTAGCAGAAGATAAACTATTAGGGAAAAGCATTGTAGGGGAAAAAGATGAAAAATGTAACAGATAAAGCAGATGCAGCTGTTGTAATGGGAAAAGTCAAAGCATTTCAGCGGGAGAGTAAATGGAGGAAATGTGCCAAACAAAGAAAAAAAGGAAAAAATATTCACAGCTAATACAAGAAGGGAAAGCAGATGTGTGGATCACTTCAATGAAATCTTTAACTACCCTAGACAACCCTCATGCGAAGCAGTAATGAAAGCTGGAAACCCTGAGCCTGGCATTAACACAAGCTGCAAGAGGCTGAAAAACTCCTGGGAGATGGAAATGGATGAAATCCCGTCAGAAAAGCTGACGGCGCCTACAGCACCAGTTTAATGACACTGAGGGAGTTATGCAGTGAAGCCTGGGAAAAAGAGATTTTTCCTCAATAGTGGAAACGTTGGAGTTTTATTAGATTGCCGCAACAGGGTGATCTTGCTGAATACTGCAGCTGGGGAGATGTTGAGGCTTCTGCAGTGTGGTAGTAAGAGAGGTAAAGGGACACTGGATGCAAAACAAGGAACAGGCTCAACAGAGGCTCTCAGCACTTTGGATGGACTAGATAATGTGTCCTAGCAATTGTAGAGGAGCATATAAAGGAATAGGCTCCTCTTATTGCTTTGGTTTTCAAAAGGCTTTGACAAGACTATGAGAGGTTCTTGCAGAACCACTTTTAGCCCTACAGAGTCAGATCTTCATGGCTGTATAAAGAGGTGCAAAATATTCTCTAAGTTCAACAACTAAGAAACAAATCAGCTCA